GGGACGGGTACAATAGAAGGCCTATGGAGTTTGTTATTTCAGGTACGACGAAAAAGAACTTTACGTATCAATTAAGAACAGGCATTCCCTGTTGAATTTTAAGCTTAAAGTTTACTTGATGACAGGAGATCGTTCGTCTTGTACTCGCTCAGCTCCAAGCCTACTCCCTTTGCCTGCGTAGCCAGCTTTGGAAAGGCAAATCAGACAAATACTCTTTTCCCGCATCGGATTAAAGAAACCTCGTTTAGTATCGAACACCTCAGATTAAGTTGAACACAATACGCAGGAAATGTTCAGAATGCTGTGTGTGGGCACAATACACCTAAATTCCACAGAAATAAGAAGAAGAACTTCTCAACATTTATTACTGCAGAAGAGGTTATTGATTCCGTAAATGGCGTTAAAGACTGAAAATTTGAAAACCGAATGCTCAAACATACCACGATGGCGAAGCTGTGTTTCCTGATATATGGAAATAGTGGCGATTAGTCTTTCTACCAAAGCTTTGCAAAGGCAGGAAAACCAAAAGAAAGATCCTTTACTCGAACTTTGGTTTCCATAAGGGCTTATTAGCAGTTTAAGCGGTTATACTAGTTAAACAGCTGACAAAGGAGGCGATCAGTGGGAAGGGATGGAAAGATGGTAATTTAGACCCGCAAGCTCATATTCGAAGGGTTTGTCTTTCTGATCTGTCTAAAATGGGCAACGCGCTACACAGAGGTGCTAAGGACTAATCATCAACTTTAATAAAACCAAAGTTCTGAATATCGTAGCGCAGGCTTGTGGTGTCATGACAGTCCCCGAACTGAGGATAGCACCGACGAAGTCTTACATGGTGTTTACATTAGGCGATTTTGCAGGCAGCTTTTAGTTGCAAGCAACAATTGCCGACAATTCAACGACGTTGGGCATGCAGCCAACATTTTTTTTTAAATTACTTGTCTATAAAACTGCCTGTAAAATCGCTTCATGTCATAATACTCCAAATATTTTGGCCTAATTTTGGAGTTGCTTAGAAAAGCTAACTTGGAGTCCCGTGAACATCTGGATCCGGAAACAGAAATGGTAGTGGATAGGGCACACCCTGCGGAATGAAAACGGCAGTATTGCAAAGAAGGCCATGCAATGGAACCCTTTAATCGCCAGAGGCTGCCCCCCTGGTAAACTACGCAACTCGGGTTAAGCTTGGAGGACATCACAGCGCCAGAAACCGAGCCAGATAGCAAGCAAGCATAGTGGTTGGGCTATGTCCATCTTAGGATTAAAGGCGTAGAAGAAGAAGCAGCTTGAGGCCTATGGCTTATTAGAAGAAATGTTGGTGGTTCGAGGCGAATACTTGAACTCGGACTCTGGCCTACGGACCACGGAGTGGTAATACACACCTCTAAACACTCAGGCGCAGCGGCTGCCGATCAATAGCTTCACCATAAAAACAACAATATCGCAGTCCTTTTGGTAAGCTTGAACAACTTCTTGTAATCTCACCTTTTTTCGTGGTTGTTACGATCTCCGGGAGAACGCCCTTCTAGGCGTGTCTGCCGACCTCCTCATTGCCAGTGACGCCAGTGTAACCCGGAACTCATTGCAAGTGTATCGGTGTATTGTTCTTTAACGCAGCCTGGTTGTCAATATATATAGTACTTGGATAGTCCATTTATCCAAGTACTTCTCTATAGCTCCACCGTTAAAACTTGCGTCTTATACGATTTGTTAGTTTAAAGTTCCGTTTCCATCTTTGTAAACATGCTCCAAATCAGCTATCCGCATACCTCCCGCACGGCTTCGGCCTCAATAGTGACCCTGACATTCATCTGGAAGTAAAAATTCTGGATCTAGTAGACTATCCGCCCGGAAGGAATTTGTTACGGAATAGAACCAGTCACAAAAATTTGTTTTTGGAAATCGAATAGCCTACTTTTTATCCTGCTAATCTGATAACGCTGCGATCATAAAAATTTCGTGGAACCCCATTCTTTCTATTGTCAAGTTTTTTTTTTTTAGGATTTATATGTGCACATCGAAAGTACTCTCTGCGACCGTTACAAACCAGCCAAAAGCAAAACCACTACGCTTCGTTGCACGAAAGGAAATTCGTCCTCGGTTAGTTTCGCAAAAGACGTTACAAGAAAGCACGGAGTCCTGCAGGAATACCAAGATGGTTTAGACGCTAAATGTTTCTAATTAGGGGACCAAGATAATGAGCACGGCTTTGCGACAAGTGCCACACCCACATAAGAGCTAAGACAGTCGTTGTACACGCACAGAAGATCGGCAAAGGAATACATTACTGTTGCAGCGGAAGCAACCCTCTTTAACGGCTTCCTGTTTAAGATGCGTCCACCCTGGAAAAGATGTGTGTCGTACAAGAAAATGCAGACCTACTAACGGTCAATTTGTAGTTTCGTTGGACGGTTTATATGTAAATAAAAATCACCCTACAACACAATTAAATATTCAAATATATTTCATGCGCTCAAATTCCTTTCAAATTACCACCAGTCTGTGTACATATGTATGTAAATTCCGCTGATCATCACCGCGACGTCACGTGGCTGTGATTCCACCCTGTTGCTTCTTTTCATGCTTTTCATTCGTTGCTTCACGCTTGCCTGCTTCGGCCACCCCATTCCCTAGGCTCCTTGACGTTTCGTCGTCGCTGGTGACGCGGCCGTTTTTGACACCTGTGTGTTGCGTCTTCTTGGCTTCGCGTTTGCTTTCATCCCTGTTTGCCGTGACTTCTGACCTTTAGCTGGTATTCATAGCACTTTGTCGGGGTTGTTGACTTTATGTAATTGCCGTTTAGATGTTACTTTTCTTCCGTTCATCTTTTCTTTGCACCACCAACTCCGTGCATATGTATGTATGTGCTAGAATAAACGCTTGAGTCGGTATTGTTCTCTTGAAGCCTGTTGTGCGCACAGGTGGCGCACCTGTTATTTCAACGCACCCTGTTCATCTTCGCAATTCGTCCTTTGAAAAATATGGCTGCAAGTATAATTTTAATGAAATTATGCATTCATATCGCGCATTTGATCTTTCAGCTGGAGGTTTTGTAGTCATCAGAGTTTTTCTTTAAAGTTGATGTATTTCAATATAATTGGAAGTGGTTTGGATTAGGCGATGGAAATATTTTAGGCAGAAGCTTTTCTAAAGTTGTATGGTTATAAAGGATAGTATTCGAATAAAATTATCTTTTCAAGTAAGCCTTTTTTATGCTCTGATAGAACTAACTGAATTGACTCAAAGTGGTAAGTCAGTAAGTTTTTGAAATTCCCGCAGGGTATGTATGTGTGCAACTTTAAAGCAGGAACAAGCAAAATGTCTAACCAAAAGCACCACTTTTTAAAACTTTCTGAAAGTTTTATATGATCGCTCATATGATGAAAGCACCCGCTGATCGTCGCTACATTCAATGCAACACTGCTTCTGTTGTCAGTAAATAGAGTGTAGTCAAAATTTTGAATGCATTTTTCCATTTAAACCCCATTGAAGGCAGACAACCTCGACTAAAATACTTAAAATCTTAGTTAAACAATAGCTCAAAAAAAGATCTACCGCGATTTTTGTTTTTACGATTTTTTAACCTCCAAATACTCTGAATTGAGCACCATTTTTATATATAAAAACCATTTTTATATATAAAACTGCTTGAAGCTCAATGTGCGCCCTCTTCCACCATTCATTATCGAAGATGAGGAAAGAGATTGGTTGTCGTTAAGAATTTTTAATCAAGCCCACTGTTGAATTGAGCGCTACACCTTCTATGGTATGTTAAAATTTCATAGTTGTACCGATTACCAGTAGCTGACTAGAACAAAATATGTATTAATATTTCTTAATTCCAAACCTTAAATCAAATTTTCCTCGAATTTTAGGTTTTTTGAGTTATGACAGTATTGAAGTAAATTAGCATTATGTTATTTTCGCGATATCTAAAATAATATTTTAACATTGGCCACAATGTTTATTGGGTAATTTTTAAAGATTTTTCAACATTATTGAAAATGCTAAATTTTTATATGATTTTTTTTATTTTGTTTTACTTAAAAAGTTCTTAACATGTCGATACTTTTTGGTAATCGCGATACTTACTCAGTACTTGTTAAAAAGTATCGAATTCTCGATACTACTCAGTACTCATGAAAAATATCGATATTCTGTACATGGTACTCATATGGTTCTATCACTAGCCACACCTGTGAAAATCCGAAATATATAGCCAAACTATTTTGGGCTTCTATATAACAGTTTTATTAGCAATCCGTTTATTTTAAATATTTTCATATTTGGTATATCTTTAATATCATTTTAACATCCTGTCAAGTAAAATATCCGCCATCGATCAATAGACTTAATTTACAAAATTTCTACCAGTCTAAACTAGAAACTTTTTTCTATTGTATGGGAACCGACCCGACCTGATATGTTGGTACATATTAGGATGTCTCATATAAAAAAAAATGTTTGCTTCTCTAAGCTCACCAAATAATTTGCCAACCATAAGACTACCACCAAATATTTTCCATTATTTTAGTGTCGTTCGTAAATTGGACAGCTGAAAAAATATCGCCAAAACCGCAAAGCGCACCACTGTGAATAAAGTTGGGAAGAGTTTAACATTCCGCTCTTAGATCTGTATGCGAATTTAAGGGAAAAAATAAACACACAAATCAGCCAACAGTTTCAAATTAGTGCACGGAAATTTCGGCAACTTTTTAATGCAGTTCCCATGGCGACTTGAATAAAAGTACCATAAGGTCCCTACAACTTTCCGCTATCATTTTGATTTCCTCCATAATATTTGTGTCCAGCGCGGTTTTAACGTAGCTTTCGTACTCACTTTTTTTCATTGTAGTCGCCTTAGAACTTTGGCCAAAGAGAACTTTTATTTATTTTTTCTGTGGGCCAATACAGAAAATAATGTTTCAATTTTAACTTTTTGTAATATAGACTGTGGCAAATTTCAATGTCCAAAAATATTTTACGTTTCTCTGGGACCAAATTTTTTTTTGCGTGCAGCTTGAGGCGCTCTAATGTACGTACATACGATTGCTTGCGTGCATGCATATGCATACAAGTAAAAGCAATTTCCAAAGAAATGCTAAAATAATTATTTTTGCAAAAATATCATTGCATTTGATTGTATATTTGGACGTAAATATATACGTACATACATACGTAGGTATGTGTAATGAAACGTGGATAGAGGAAAATTAATTTTCACGTCATTTAATGGAAAGAGTTATACTTTATTAACAACAAAAGCAACAACAACAGAAATTAAAATTGTATAAAAACAATTTATACGTTACTAATACGTTTTATTGTTATGTAAAAGTGCAATAAAATGCACTCGCACGCTTATACACACATACACACACACACACACTCGCGGAAACACAGCCGACATGTATGCATACGAGTGTGTCAATGCGAGCACACTTCCAAACGTGCCACACGCAACAAATGGCCATCCATACAAACTGACAGTCAGAGGATAGTAATTTTCGTGCGGGAAAAGTCGTACGGTGTTTCAAAATGTTCAAGCTGGTCAAGAAAAAAGTTTGTCGCGATAACGATTTAATTCCTAAGGTGTTCATTTGGGCTCGCAGCCTGCAATGATCCGTGGCCTAGGTTTGTCTTTGGGCGATTCATACTCCTAGGCTTCGCAAATCTTTTGCAGTTGTAGCTTCCGATATGTTTTTTTGGTTTGCCGTAGCTAGTGGAGCTGAAGATTATGGCCTTGGCCATGTCAATATTTAGCTGTGAACCCGAAATAGGGTTTCTAGCATTTTCTGTTTCCCGGCCTCTTAGCTGCCTAGCTCGATCTGGAACCAGTTCTCAATGGTTGTTCCTGTCATCATGTTACAGGAATTTTTGGGTTCAATTCACCCTGACCCTCGACTTCCCGAGGTCTGCTTGAGATCACAATGGCTTTCTTTTCGGTCTGTTCAATGACTATGTGGTGTGGCCTCAAGTAGAGCATAACTTCTAATTGACGTTTTCATACATTTTTCAATTTATAAACCTTTTATAAAGCTACTTTATTTTTTATGAATACGGCCATAAGACTGTCGAAGTGGGTACTGACCATGAGGTCGGACCATTCCTTCGCTTCATAAGTATATACATCCACAGCGCCATCGTACTGAAGACCAGGTGAACAGACATCTTGCTGTGCCCCAATCTCTACGGTAAGTCTGTACTGGGCATTGTTGTCTCCTGGTAAATGGGTTATCAGAAGAGCAAAAGCCCTTTTCTGGTTGTTCTTTATGTAGCAGCACTATTAAGCCCTACCTAAACTAACGGTAACCCATCGAAACAGGGTAGGGCAAGCAAATGAAGAGCTGGTTGGTGTCCTGTGACACTTCGCAAGTCGGGACTTAAATCAGCTACAATATCCAGACCTCAAGGTTATCTCGAGGCAGCTGAAGCTCTTTGTCTACGATGGGTGGCGGTTGAGCTTCTATTATAATATTTCAGTGGCGAAAGTTTGTGAATTAGACTCTCTATGAATTTCGTTGATGGCTTGTCGGTACATCGTCGAGTCCAGTGGTTGTATTCTGTATGTATGTCTGGATTTCGTCGATGAGTTCATAGAGATGAATTCTGTCGTACATTCTAGGAGACTCTGCTTCAAGCAAGTGTCTGTTCTGTTGCTCCCTACGTTAGAAGCCGGAATCACGGTTGGATCTCGCTATGTACTGATAGTAAGTGCTCAGTCGACATCACAATGCGCCCCATAACCGTCCAGCGTGCGATGTTCTGAGAAGTGTATAGCTTCTTTACTGCGTCCTCGTAATCTTAGGTCACCTAAACAAGTGAAGTAGACCAGTGAGTTTTTAAAGGCAAACTCGAAAATTTTCAGCCGTTTGGAATTAGAGTGAGATCGACATGGACGAGGACTGTAGTTTGACTGCCTTCGTCCAGGTGATAAAAAAATATTCATCATTCATTTCATTTCATTGATTAGGTTCCCCTGGATTAACCCTGAATACTTCAGACTCCAATTACTTTTACTGCATCGCAAACGGAGCTCGGCCCACTGTTTGCGATGAATGTTTTTACTTTCAAGTAATCATAGCAGCAGTAATAGCAGCAACAACAACAATAGAAACATTATTAGCAATAAAACCGCTAAAATGCTATAAGAAAGCCAACAAAAGTGAATCGGCTGTCAGCTGTACAAACAGGGTAACAGCAACAACTACAACGACAGCAACAACAAAAGTGAATAAAAAATAAATAAAAAAAACAATAGCGACCAGCAAAATTACATACCAGTTTCGCTTTCAAACTTGTATACAGCAAAATTTCATTTCATTCGCGACGCAGAGTGCGCTACAGCAGCCAAGCAGGCAGCAAACAGCAAGCAACAGGCTTTAGGCGAATTCGAAAGCAAAGTTTATTAGATAAAATTAGTCCTTAAAAAAAAAAAGAAACATAGTGCAAAGTGCTGGCATAAAAGGAAATTAATTTCCAAAACCAAATTGAAAAAAGCGAAAGTGTTTGTAATTATTTAGAATTTGTTTTCTAACAAGACAACAACAACATCGCTATGAAACCCGCCGATTTGAACGAGCAATATGCACGCTTTCCGGAAATCTCACGCGATGAGATGCAAAAGTTCGTCAATTGGATACGCGCCCAACCGCATATGCAGAATTTGTTGGAAGAGGAGGCCTTACACTTCTTCCACGCCTGCAAGAATAGCATGGAAATGTCCAAACAGGTGCTGGACACCAATCTAACGGTACGCACGCATTGTGATGACTTCTTTGCGAATTTGGACTGTGAACGGCCGGAGCTGCAGCGTGCCATGCGAACAGTGTAAGTCAACTATGGATTTGTGAATGAAAAAAAAAGAAAATTGAATGAAAATGCCGAAGAAAAGTTTTGCGTGATTTTTGAAAAATTCTACACAGAGAAAAATCACTGATAAATTGTATACAAAATATTAACCAATAACAAATTATTTAGCTTTAAAGCTACCTAGATTATTTTATTTAAATGTATCTAATTGTTGAACACTGACACTAAAATATAATCACATAAACAGATAACCCGATCTGCAACCAAACCCGGAGTGCATTCTGAGTTCACAGGGCCCTACTGTGTGATACCCAGAAGAGGGTCTCACCCATACCTACCCCTATATGCCTTCAATCATTCCGATTTTCTTCCGGCTACCTGCTGGCAATCTGAAGGAGTTTTCTCTACGTCGCCTAAGCTCTCCATAAAGTGCTCTAAATCTTCTTCATCTCTACGGGTGAGGTTAGGTAAGCTGGCTAGCCACTGTACCGTTAAGATCCATAGCGTTAGCAGATAAACTACCACCACATTAGACAGCTAATCGCTGATTAGAACATTGCAGTCCTCTTGGCAAACAAAGAGCAAGGCACTCGCAGAAGATATGCTCCTCGCCGCATCTTTCGTTCTGCTTCTCGTTTAAATCTTATCTTTGTCGAGAGCGATGCCAGCAGGCAATGTCCTGTTAGAACACCCCCAGTAGCCTAACGTCCTCCCTCTTGTCATACGCTCTGCACATAATCCTGAACACCTTGCCGTTTTAGTCCACACCTTCTGCGCTTTCCGGACCATGGACAGATGAAGCTCCCATTTGATCTTACTCTTATTTGGCGCTGTATCCGTCTAAGCGATTTTGGCCGTAAATCGCTTGAAGGGAAATTGGCACCTTCTCTATCAGCATAGTTTGCTGTGCGATGGTGGCGCATTTAGCGCAGCCTGACTGTCGATATAGAGATTCATCTGTTTATTGCTAGATCCGCCACCCGCCTTATGGCAAATACTTACTTCCGCCTAGAAAATTTTGCTGTAGTTCGGTAGCTTATAGAATTTGTTGAGACCGAGCTCCTCGCAGACGACTGGCGCCATTATACCTTTCTTCATCTTCGACCCAACTCTTTAGACATTTACCAAGGCAACACTCCTCAAGCCAGACTTCGACCTCAATAATGGCTTCGAAGTTCGTCCCAGAGTGCAGATCATGTAGTCAAGCTATCCGATTAGTGTTGAGGCTATACCGTTGTGTCCATAGGACAAACCTACCCCGTAGCATAGAGCCTGGAGGCTATTTTAGACGATATTTTCTTGGCCGATATGTCCTCCGGCAAGAGACATAGCTTCTACACAAATTTTGCGGCACTACAGTGTGAGAAACGGAACGTTCGCTGTGGGGGCGTTAGCAAACTCCATGTTCTTCGTTCACCGTACAGCGGGCAGAGTGAGCTCGATACAGCGCTCTAGTGCTAATGAGCTGTTGCTAGCTGATCTGTCCATCTCATTAGCTCACTAATCCTATTTGAATGTTAGTAGTTTACAGCTCTAACTGTTAACCCATAAAATAAATTTTCTTTACTTTTTAAAAAATTTAAAGAGATATTTTGTTATGAAGCAAAAGTTTAAAAAGTTTTTCTGGCAAAACCATCTATCATGCCCCTTCATCTAAGAACTATTTATAAAGACAATCTTTAAATTTTTATTAGCCAAATTTGTTTCTGTGTAGCGTGTAAAAAATGCAAATCTTAAGATTCAATTATATTTTTTCCGAAATTCCTGTTTGTTTGTATGTAATATTCGTGTAAATTTTTTTAAAGCAATAAAAACTTGTTTTTTATTTTGGGCATATTTTAATACTAAAATTTACATTAACTAACTATCGTCATCCATTTGTTGGTCAAGAGCGTCAGTATGTGGTTCATAAGCAGAAAGGCAGATATTAGGCTTATTCGACTAACTTAACTATTCTGCCAGTAATGATTGCGCATAAACAAATAGCTTACATAATTAACAATTCCCTCCAAAATTTAAGAAAATTATTCAAGAGTACGCAAACGCTGATCGAAGCCAAACTAGAAACGGAAAACGTTAAACAGTTTACGAGTATGTATGTACATTAGACTGCGCCTTATTTCGCAACTTTGTCCTGCAAAGCAAGACTCCCACTAGAAAGGGCAGTGCCACGCCCATTTTTCAAACATTTTTTATGAACGTATTTCTTGCCAAATATTAAGTGAATAAATTCGCTTCCGTTGACATCTCAATTTTTACTCGTGCTATCGTGTGAACAGACGGACGGACGGACGGACAGACAGACAGTCATGGCTTAATCGATTTCGCTTTTCATTCTGAGCATTTATGTGTGTACATTTATCTATATCGATTCCTTTAGGCTACTACAAACAACCGTTATGTGCACAAGTGCGCTCTTCAGGTTAGAAGGTGTGCGGCGAATTTTTTTTTTTTTTGGCACAGTCTAATGTACATATGTATACATACATACATAGCTCTTATGATTTATTAATGTTTTTTTTTTTATTTCTTAACTGACTTTAAAATATGTATACTACATACTATATATACTACTTATGAATTTTATTTATTACTGTATGTGTAAAAAACTTCTTACAGTTCCATATGCCCTTTGCCACAAACCACATCCGATGGATATCGTGTTATCATTGGAAAGTTAGCGGACACAAATGCCTCGAACTTCAATTTTGTGGATGTCATGAAACTGTAAGTAAATAATTACAATTCTCTGAAAACCCCTAGGTTTTTCCAAGCTTAGTTCCCGATAAATACAAAACGATGTGCACCGGTGTCTTGCAAAAAGTATATATATGTACATACATATATGGGCATATTTCTAAAATTTTTGATTTTGGTGATTATGCATAGTTTCGTAGGTATATGGTCAAAATCGCTTTATATATGTTGGGTATTTTTCAAAAGAAAATATATTATAATATAATAAAAGTTAATGTACAAAAGTTTAAGTGTCAAAAATGTTATATTATATATGCAATTAACATTGCGTGCAAAAAGGAATTGAACTTTGACTTGAAGGTTTTAATTAAATTATATACATATACACTTGTGCGCACACATGCACACTTATGATGGTATATTAATGATACTATTTTTTTTGCTTTAGGTTTAACTTTTTATTATTTAACCCAAGACCCAACACAGTTTCAACTCATTGCTGTTACTAATATGTATGTTAGAGTGCAGCGATACTTGATTAGTAACTTTGCCGCCAATACTCATTTGGCATTGCATTATTATAAGTTAGTGGGGTTATTTTTTAATAACGGGCTAATGTAGATATGTACATATATATGTATGCATGTACATTAGACTGCATCACCAAAAAAAAATTGCGATTTTTCCGCTGGAACCGATTTGCAAATACCTCCAAAATTGCAGTTTTTTATGAATAAAAATAGTTTCGTTAAGAAAATTTTGAAAAAAAAAATTACAATACAGATTAAGTTTAAAAAATCAGCATAAAAATATTTAAAAATCTTATCAACGGAATCGTAATAAAGATATAGACTTATTAGGTATCAATAGAAAGGTATTTTCCCGCCATTTTTATTAATGTGCCAAAAAAAGTCATTCACATCCCAATTTTTTTTTTTTTCAAATGTCAACATATTAACAATTCAACTTGGAATGATGTCCGTTCATCTTATATTTCTCTTTCATCCTTTGAATGAGCTAATTAGAAAAAGAAATAAAAAGGGTGAAAAATACCTTTCCAATGATACCTCACAAGTCTAAATCGTTTAAGGTTCAGTTACGAAATTTTTTCTTATACCAATCTTTGAAAAAATTAAAAATCAGCATAAAAAATTTCATTATTATCATATAAATACCAAAACTCGGAAAATGCAATTTTGTTTGTTTACAAAAATTGCAACCACATGTTTTGTGATCATATGTTTTCGTGTTGGATAATTTTTGCTGACTAAAATTTTGCCAGTACAAAATGAACGCTTGCTCTCTCAAATTTTGTGTGTTGGATAATTTTTTGTCGTTATCGAACGCCATCCAGTAAATATTTGGAAAAACTATTACAAATTTTTGACTTGTCGAACGCACCTAATGGCTAATTGCCTGTTCGTTTACTTTTTTGCTTTTTCATCTCTTTGGGAGAGAATTTTCGCTTACTCTCTTGATTTTGATTGTTGGCTGGTGTTGGCTAATTTTGTTATCGAACGCAACTAATTTTTGCTGACTAAAATTTTGCCAGTACAAAATGAACGCTTCTCTGGCATCAAAATGAACGCTTCTCTTGCATCAAAATGAACGCTTGCTCTCTCAATTTTTGTGTGTTGGATAAGTTTTTGTCGTTATCGAACGCCATCCAGTAAAAATTTGGAAAAACTATCACAAATTTTCGATTTGTCGAACGCACCTTATGTAAATTTGTGCAAATTAAAATGAAATAAAAAAGAAAGCAAGTTTATAAAAACGTGGTAAAAATTAGTACAACGAAGTTCTGGGGTTCAACGATTCGTCAGAGGATGAGAGTTTAGTGAACTGACCAGGAGTAGTAAATGTTTAAGAGAGTTTAAGAGTAGTCTTTACAATATATTTTGACATAAAATATATTTAAGAAATTTGTCTACAGATTTACTAAAAACTTCCGACTGTCTAAAGAGGCGTTTGTGAGCCAAATCTATTTAAAATATTTTAAAACTATCCACAGCTCTATTTTTTGTTCTCAGAGATCGTGCCAACTGAGTATTGGGAATTTCCTTCACAAGTAAAGCAGCCTTTCGAGCTTGTGTTTTGTATTCACGACGTTAAAACTGCATGAAATTGATAAAAAATTGTTTAAAATTAGTGTCTACCCGCCAAAAAGTAAGAAAACAAATGCAAAATCATACATTTTTCACAATTTTCTAACACTTCGCTACCCCATCGAAAGCAAAATTCTGTTCGACAGAAAATTCGATACTCAACGAAAATTTCGACACGGTTGCATAGCTCATAATACGAATTTCACTTTCGATCTTCGATAACCAGCGAAGATCGAAAATCGAATGCAACTCATAATAAGGGCCATAAGTTCTGTTCGTCGAGCAAAAAAAAAATTGTACGAATTTGTACGAATTATCACGATTTTTGCCCAAATCGCGTTCGTACAGATCAAAAAATTATCCAGCGATTTTTTATGAAAAAAGGCAAGTAAATACTTGTTGATATAATTAATTTAGTTAATTCCAATTATTTGAACTGTACTCGGATGAAAAAAAAAAATTTATTTGCAATCGGAATGCAATTGCAACCAGAGTTGATTTAAGAAACCCAATAGCTAAATAGTACGATAAAGAAATTTAAATGTATGTTAAAGAAAGTCAGAACAAGCAGAAATTTACATAGATATCCTGTTTGTGTGCATCTGAAACAATTTCAAAAATTCTATAAAAATTTATTATGTTTGAAATGCAATCGGGGACACCATCTGGCAGGGAAACTTGAAAATTCCTGCAAATTTGCGTTCGTGCAGAAATTTGCAAGTTTCTCAACATGAGAGAGAATTTGAAGAATTTTTTCTTACTGTCTGATATTTTGAGTGTTGGATAATTCTTGCTGGATTTTCGAAGAACAAACCGTTCACATAATTTAACATGCAAAACAAAAACAAATTTGTAAAAATAATAAAAATTTCGCATCTTTGAGTATTAGAATTATATTCAGTTGCTTTAAAAAGGTTTTTTTTTTTAGTGTATTTTAGGGCAGAATTTTTCTAACTCAGCCAAATCATGTGTTGAGGAAAACCAATTTAGCTGACATACTTAAATTCCATTCTCAGTACAAGACTTTCCCATAAAATTGGGCATAAAATCCGAGTTAGTGTCGAATGACAAAATGACAGTCATGGACAAAAGCATTCACTACATCGAATCATTTTTGATAAGTACAGTAATTTATAATTACAACACGTACACATAAATATTACTACAAAAATGAATTTGCCCTCAGACGTGAAAATATGATGAAGCATTCGAAACGAATTGTACTAGAACCTATAATTATGAGCTACTTTTTGACATAACCGGTACGTACGTAATCACACATATCAAAGCAATGTAACTATATATATATATATATATATTTACATGTTTACTCGTAGTATGTACTGTATTTAAATGAAATATTTTACGCTAATCATTCATTAATTTCCAGCTTAAGTGTTTCCTACAGAATAAGCGATCATAATTAACACCCAGCGTTATGATTTATAATAATACGGCCATTACACCGCACACATATCGACGTACTTGATTGGTTTTTAGTACGCGTTTACAGGGTTTAATGTTGATCTAAGGCTATGTGTTTGATCTATTGTGCCCCCTATTTCAACTTCACGGGGAGTTTCCACGGCACCCAACCCGGTTCAGTGAAATTAAGACGAAATTTCCTCAACTAATGGACAAAAAGAAGAAAAACCAACTTCAATAACGAGCAAATAAAAAAACCGAACTAAGCAAAATCAACAAAACAACAACAATCAAATAAACTGATATTGAGATGGTAGTGTAAACAGCTTAGGATTTCAAATTGAAATTGAGTTTTAAATTGCGCAATTTGGGCGGCGCATAGTGGGGCAAAAAAGGTTGCTGTGGACAACTCAATTTGGAGAGCCGAAATATGAACCGATTTCAAGTTTCTTTCTTTTAAATAAGAGATAATTAAATTTCGCGTCGATCTAGCCGTGACGATTTTTTTAAAAAAGCTCTAGTTTTTTATTTATTTATGTAGAAAAGTGAAAGAAAAAAATGTATGTTTGAATGCTTCCAATTGTTTGGAAAATACTTGAAACTAATTTCAAATGCCTGCAGTTATTTAAAAAAACTATTCATAAACATTTTTCCATAGGAAATATTTAATAAAAAAATATTTTTAATTTGCCATCTATGTATTTTGAAAGCCGTTTGTTTCAAAGCGAAAAACTCAAGAACAGCTGTACCGATATTTTTGAAATTTTGGACCGTTCGAGTCCTCGAGTCTCTCCGTTTTTCTTAAAAAACGAAGTTGGAAATTTCGAAAAAAAAACTGTAATTTGTGCTAGCAGGTAATTTAAGCATCTGTAACTGTAACTGCAACTGTAATTTACAGTTAAAACTGTGAATCTGGCAACATTGGTCATCAGGTTTGTTACGATTTGCAAAAGAACCCGGGAGGAATGGGCGAAGTCTGAAATCATAACCCTGTTTATTTTCTGTACGAATGTTTCTAACTCTCGGCTAATCACGTAAAACGAAGACCAAGTGTATACGGCAACTGATATATTTTTAATTAAGTTCACTTGCAAAAATCATTCAATTAAGTTGTCAATCTGTGTGTAAGGAAAAACAAATCCGCTCGTTTCATGACATTTATGAGTTATTACGTAACATAAATTACAGACTAATTAGTTTACTAATTAATAGTAATCGAATGCATATACATATGTACATATGTAAATCTTCAATAGTGAATAAAGCTGTTGTAGTGTTCATACATACATACATACACATACAGCTGATGTCTACAATTAACACGTTACAATTCCCGTTCTGACTCTTGACCGTGCTGCCACTCCCACTAAAGCACTAAAGTGTTGCTTCTTAGAGGAAATGTATAGTCCGTTAATGGCAATTCCCTTTTGACCAAACTTATGTATATAAATCGAGATCAAAGTTTATTAAGGAAGATCTACTGCTGTTCAAAAAGTATCCACAATCTAAATAAAATTATGTGGAACGATTTTTTTTATTATAATTTATTTTAATTTAGAGTTTGTAATATTTTTTTTTTAAGTTCAAAAATACATGTCTTAAAAAACACTGAAATTTTTATAATCTTTCAAGATCGGTGAGAGGTATTGCACAAAAAAAATTTTGCCAACATTTTATATAAGTTTTTGCTTGTATGATTTTTTAAATTTCGAATTTCTGTAATTTTTTAATTTTTTATTTTATGGTAAAAGTAAAGTTTTGACCAAAATTCATCCAAATCAAAAATGGTCGATTCCAACAGACAAATTAGGAAATTCAGAGCATTCCGGTTTTCAATTGAAATGACCATAATTTGGCAACGTTTTTTAAAATAAACCACTCTATATATTGCATTTGTAACTAGGTGGAATTTTTTTCTTCAATACAAATATTAAAAAAAAACTGCATTCAAACTTTTTCAATGAAATCACAATAAAACGTGACCCCTTATGACCCAACGGTCGTCTAGGGTTAAGGTTTTTTTTTTTGCAAAAATGTGTCGGATTCCAATCAATAAAAAATTATGGTTTTGTTAAATAATCTACTTGTTTGGCCATAATTAATTTTGGCGACGAAAATGGGAAAAATTACCCACAGTGCATTGGTCGATTTGACATGAATTGACCCATGTACTTACATTAGGGTACCTCGCCCAAAAAAAAATTGGTTTTTCACTGGAATTATAAAATGCATTATATTTTAAAATACGTTGTTTTATGAACTTATCTTCTTACTCATCTCACTTCCTCCCTCTCTGCTCCTCTGCCCTTGTCTCTTCAGTTACTGCATGATTTTTGATTTATGGATGTATGAGGATGGCATACGTCCGGGTCACATTATAGTGATCGATTTGAAGGGTGTCACTTTGGGTCATGTAGCACGCATTGGCATATTTCAGATGAAGAAGTTCCTCTTCTATTTGCAAGTGAGTATTTTTACTTTACATATTTTATATCTAAAAACTTGTTGGATTTCATATTTGCTTACAAGTACGTTAGGGCGGTCCTTAAAGTACTGGAGATCATGGGGCACCCCATTATTTTGTTCTTAAAATTGCGAAAATTCGACAAAATATTGACTTTAACCAGCTATAACTCAGCAAGTTTATTACTTTATAAATAAGTTTCAATATTGTGCCGAGGTTCTCAGATTTCAGGACAAGGTTTGGTGAAATTTTTGCGATTTAAAAAAAATTAACATTTTAAAATTTTCGTCGGTGGCCATATTTTGTGCTTAGAACAAAACAAAGGGGTGCTGCTTAGATTTTGATCCACCCTAATGCACATACTTAAATGTTAAAAAAAAATTGCTCATTTTTCTAAGTTCAAAAAAAGTTTGTTTTATCATTCAACTAAGTACAGTTGTTATTCTAGAACCTATGTATGTAATTCATGTACGGTATTCTGTTTTTTCACAGGAAGCAGCTGCTATTCGTCTAATAGGATTTCATTTTATCAACATTGTACCATTTATGGATAAAATTTTAGGTCTAATGACACCCTTCATGAAAAAGGAACTAACCAGTATACTGTATGTACATAGTAATTTGGAAGATTTCTTCAAGCATGTACCGCAAAGTATATTGCCCAAGGACTATGGCGGCCAAGAGCCGGAATGCATAGAAATGAGAGGTGAGAAAATACTAACTCATAAGATTTTCATTTAACATTAATTCAGTTTAACTTTAATGCCGGATTCATTCGGAAAGTTTTAATGGTAAAGTTGGGCGTGAATAGGGGAGCTCACGTGGAGTAGCATTTTAGGTGTAAAGTTGCTACATAGCAGGTTCACGCCTAAAATGCTGCGGAAAGTGAGTACGCCTAATGTTTTTAAGGTTAATTTTTTTATAAAAACATTATATAAAATTTAGAGATATTCAACAAATTTCGATCAAAATTTTGAACTTTTTAAGCTGAATTTTTAGAAAATTAAAAAGTTCGAAGTTTTAATGAAGCTTTTGAATTTTTCTACAATTAAAAAAAAAAATTAATTGAAAACCAAAAAATCACCATGCACTCAGTTTTGACCGCCAGTGTGTATGCCAATGTCATTATGTTATAAAGATTAATCAGACATTTTTTGTCATTTCAGTGCCTAGTGGAAATTCGACATAAAACTTTTTTTATGTTTTTCGATACCTTGATTTTTTAGAAAAAAATATACTTGGTGCCGTTTTCTCAAGTATGTTTCAAAATTTATCTGCCCTTCAATGACATTTTTTGAGAACAAAATTTGTGTTTAAAGGGCAAAAAAAATTTTAAAACCTACTTATGAAAGCAGCCCTAAAACTGTAAATGGCGTGGTGACACACTCGATATTTTTTATTTTTATTTTTATTTTTTCAGAAACCTTTCACCGCAAACTCAAAGACAGTCGTGCTGATATGATGGAGTTTGAGAAACGCCACCAAGTCAATGAGAAATTGCGACCGGGAAAAGCGAAAAATGCTTCCGACCTATTCGGCATTCAAGGGAACTTCAAAAAACTAGACATTGATTAAAGTACATTTAAGTGTTTTATAATTATCATTTTGAAATTCCATTGACAAAGTATTGTTTATATGTAATTATGGCATGGTGATAGTCTAAAACTTATCATTAGAAAATGTTTCGAGAATAAAATTAATTGGAAAGGAAACATGAAATATAGGAGGGGGAATGTTTTATGTATGTATATTACCGGATAACTCTGGACCACGGGCACCGTTTTCGATAATTCTTTTTTTTTAGGTTATACTTCAAAGGTGGTCCCATACTAATTTGATTTATGTCATTAACAGTAAATTTTTATATGAGCATTGAGGTCGGTTGTGTTTTTTGCTTAAAAATTATTTGTTGCAATCGCAAGAAAAGTTATGGCTCACAGTCTGCCAAGTTTCCAGTTGAAATTAGGTGATGATGTTGAAAACTTTTATTTGGCGATTTCTTGACCTTAGTCCTTTTAGTGGCCAAAGTATTCAAAGAATGTTTTTTTTTTTAATCCTTCGTCGTCAGCGAACCATTCTGCAACCGAGATTCTGATCAAGTCAAACTATTCGGCGAAAATCTTCACCAAATGCAGGTCATTTAAAAAGCAATATCTTCCAGCTTTTCTTGTGTTGTAAATTTTTTGAACGTTTCTCCAAGATAGTAATAAGACTTATGTCCACGCTTAAGCTCAATTGAGGCCGCCGAACTTTAAGTGATTTTTAACAAGCATCTTTCTGATTTGAAGAACTGAAAAAAAAAATTCAAATTAGTCAAAGGAATTTTATAGTTACATATGTATATTCATAGGATATTACGCATGGTGCCTCACTTCAAAAAACTCCCAAAAAACAGTCAATGCATAGTGTGTCTTCATTTTCAAATCTCATTCCTCATAGCTTCACCCGACCAAGATCGGTTGTAATAATTGCCATACCACGGTATACCGAATCTACCGAGGTGGACCACTCCTTTCGTACTTACTCGTGGGAACAAAATATGAGCGAAAATAAATAAAAATCAGAAAAACGCAGGACTTAAGGAATATCTCGCAAAAATCAGTGTAACTGCGATATTGCTGATAATTGCTGCAGGGAGCACTCCAGCGGCTAAAACGCAAAAAACTAGGTCTTCTAGGATGACGATAAATCAAAGTGTAATCGGGCTACCTTCATGCTTAACCAAATTTCTAAGAACGCAGCGGCCGTTACTGTGCACACCAAAGATGAGAAAGATGGCCGAGAGTGCAGGAAGGAGAAGAAGGAGTATGGGATATAAATGACATCTATTACTGAGTCAGCGACGAGGAGCGTTTAAGAACAACGCTTTCCACCAAGAAGTACCATCGACGATGAGCTCAGACAGGCACACTAAGCCTACTATGAGCTGAACGTTTAGAGCATATCTGCTTGAAAATCCTCACATCCCCTTTTTGGGATTAGATTCCAGTGAGTTTCAAGAGAAGTTATCGGATTTTAAGGGGTGTTGGAGCTAACTATGCAGGTGAGTATTTTAGTTAGTAACAATTCTAAGCTTAAGATCTGTAACAAACACAGTGCTTTTCCAGTTATATGTATGGCTGGGAAGAAATTCTCTGCTACCCGAAGGGTACCTAAAGGTGAAAAACTTGCGAGTCTTCGGCGCGGAGACGCTTTCGAATCCGCGTCCACAGTAATATATTAAGGGCTAGTTTCCTCAGAAGTCCTTCAACTTGCGTAATATTCTAACAGGCTCATAAAAAATGACTCACCTCAAAAATTACGTTAATTCCGGCTCGCTGGCAGCGGTGTGAATTTCCGCTCGCACCTACCACTTTATGCAAAGCTTTCGGTTTCCACTTTCAGCCTTAGCGGTTATTTGTATGGCGCTTAAAAATTGTGTTTGATGTATTCAATAGCAATTATCGTTACTTGGTCCAAGCTGAAACCAGAAATAACACCAGAATTAAGAATGTTTTAAGTTAGTGTGGGAAATTTAGACTTTCTTACCATCACTACGAAGAAATCGTTGACAATTTGTGGCAGACGCCGTAGTGGAGCCTTCCTTGAAACTGGATCCGCATCCCTCCGGGTGCGTCTTTGGCCAACATACTATAACTATCCCCCCCCCCCCCCCCCCCTCACCATTTCTTTATTTCTGGAATAAATATGAGTGACCGCGGTTGCTAATCACGTACCGAAGTCCTGTTCTAACTCTTCGTCATCCAGCGTGTTCACATTACCATCCTCAGGGTGACGTCTTTTGAGTTTCAGGTAGACAGAATCTGTACCCAAAAACATCTTGCCGAAACGTGCGTAGAGCTTATCTTCTGCCTCTTTATTAATTTGAAGAATCAAATCCAGGCCGTTGGCGTCTGGTTCACCTTGGTGAATCACCTTCCAATTCTCTGTTGGTATATCGGTATTTTGCCTTTGAAGTAGTAGTAAAGCGACCTCCGGTTTAATCGTACTAGGTACTCGAACTTTTGCGCGCGGCAAATTTGGAATATCCTCTTTAGCCACTACCGCCAACTGTGCACCGTCCCATAATCCGTCGAGCTCCCGAACGACCTTTGTGATCCATTGCATAGTGTACTCATCATTGCATTTAAGAATCTTTACACCCTTACACCATCCCGATCCATCAAACGAGGGCGTGGGTTCTTCTGGTTCAGCCTTAACCCACATAACGATTGTCTCTAGTATTTTGGCGTCTACTTGTTTCCACTGTTCCGCCGTGATCTCTCCACCCGGATGGCTGCGGTCGATCAGTGCCACGATAAAATCTTGTTTGGCCACCTCGGGGTCTTTGACCGCCTTCTTGGAACAGGTTGGTCGGTCGTCTGTAGTGACAAGTGTTTGTGGACGAGCACGCTTATGCACCACATGCCTTTCTTTTCCTACGTACTGCTGTGGTTTTCTTTTTTTAAAACGCATCGTAGTGGTTTCTTCGAAAATCTTCAATTGTTTCTCACTACCATTTTGTTCGATATCATTTAAAAGGCTCTCACTGAAGCGTTTTGTAACGTTTTCTTCAATACAGTTAACGAAATTGGGGTCTTCTGGTTCAAACCTTGGGTTTTTTGAAAAGTATTCTCTACTTTTCGCAATTGCCTCTCGCTCCTTCCTCGTAAGAGTGTGATTACCACCGTGAAGCAATGTTTTCCTGATTGCTGCCTTATATTTAGCGAGAGCTCTACGTCCTTGCCTGGTGGGTCCTTGCTGCACCCTGTACTCGCTAGCAGGATCTTTGCTTGAGCTTGTAGTTACTGGGAACTTTGTAGGCGCTTTCCCAGCTTTTGGACCTCTATCTAAGCTTTCAAAGTCTATGGGCGAGTCAACCGAAGAATCATCGTTACTTGCTTGCATTTCGGTGTCATTGACAGTCGCATTACAACTGTCAGAGCCTGCATCCACCCTGACAGAGGCGTGACCGCTGGCGACACGCTGCGGAGAATTAGGTACTCCTACTGCGCGCCCGCCGGTGGTAGCAATCACATCTCCCACCGACGTTTGGGTTGATATCCCAACCCGATCTTCTACTTGTCGTTGTACTTCCATTTTGGTTTTTTTTTTTTAATTCAGGGAACCCACCCTTAGCGTTTTTTGCCTGCCGCCAGACACCTCTGACCATAGCTGTAGCCACTCATACATCCCCAGCTTCAGCTGTGACACGAAAGCAAGACATGTATGCTTGTACGACAGCCTCTGCTAGCCTTCTACAAAGCTCTCTTCTCAGCACTTGTCGTGCGATGCTCGCACGCTCCGACAAGTCACCGGTTAGAGAAGAGTTGTACAAGGCCATTGCCCAGGCGGCACCCTCTCGGAGGGTTCAGCCAGAGGATTTTCGCCGCCCTCATCCTAACAACTACGTAATGAAAAGATGGGCCCAAATTTTACCTTTTTTTATGGTACTAATATTACGCATAAGCAGTGAAGAGAACTTTGGAGAGTATTTGGAAGTCGTTGTATAGAATATCAAAAAATGTGTTTGGATTCATGGCGAAATTTCCTTACTTAAAGAAAAACTTTTATTTTAAATAATTTATTTGGAAAGAAACCGAGAAAAGCTAACTGTTTGGCCGCGTCGGTCCAGAGGAGAGGGGAGCTAGTTGAGTTAGATTCCGGGGCCGTATAAAGAGGTGGTTGGCGTCGTGAGGACAACCTTCATATGCCGGACATGCGTTGGGTATGTCGAGGTCTAGTCTGGGAGTTTCATCTACTGCAATATCCAGACAGCGATTGAGACAGAGTTATGCGGGCCTCCCTCGGCAATTGAAGCTCACTTTCTCCTACAGACGATGATTATACTTCTATGACGGCATTCACAAGACCGCAGTTAGTGAAGGTGTTGGCAGTATACCTCTGAAGGCCTATACAGTTCCGGGTACAGTTGGAACTCATTCTTTAGTTCGTAGAGATGCCTTCTGACGTGTCTTGGTGGCGGGTCCACCTCGAGCAAGTGCCTGTCCGGATACTCACTTCAGTCGTAAGTTTTCTCAATGCTTCCGTAGAAGTACCTCCAGTTAACTTTCTTGGTTCTCCTAAATTTTTTCTTATATGAGGATAATACAGATTTGTACTCTGTCCAACACTTTACACAGACGACCCGTTTTGTCAGCTTTAAGGCATCCCTATTGCTACTATTAAGTACATCAGACAAGATCTATTGTGCTAATCACTCCAACCTCAGGTTGTTTGAAAAATTAAGCAAATTGGAGGGAGTAAAATACCAAATTTTCGAGCAACAAGATTATCGTTTTCCAAGGTCACACCAGCCCACAAAACCTAAAGTCTATCTTTGCAGAAAGCCCTATTTTATTCAAATGATAGCTTAACTTGCACTGGCCTATCATGTAACCCGTAAGTTCGTCCTGAAAGGAGTTAGGAATCTTTTTGATTGTCTCATTCCCTTTAGACTTTGGGCCAGTTGACAGCAATCTGGGATTCTACCCAGCGCCTAAGTAGCTCTACAGTAAGTCCTTTAGATGTCCCGCAGAAATGCAAGCGCATTGAGGCTCTACGTTTTACGAGACATTCAGCCCTTTTGTTCACTTCAAATCCTTCATGTATCGGGACACAACACACGAGTTTTTCAACTGTTCACAAGCCTTGATGCCGTTCTAAAAGAGTCTAAGGCGTTTAATGCTGCCTGCCTCACTATCCGACATAATATTTATTCCGGCTCCATTTGTCCTTCTACGAAGACGTTCTCTTACACACGACTTTGATTGCGAAAGCTTCCGCCAGAAATATGGTTAGGTTTGTGCACATTGGCATACTCTTCTGGAATCTTGGTTCAAGTACGACTCCTTTCGTCCATTGTCGATCCATCGGTATACCATACTTGGGTCCCTATGACCACTCCGACCTTGTAGAGCTTTTCGAATGACTAAAAAAAACATATAGAAATAACTATTTTAATAACAAAATTAATCAAATAACCTTTATAGGTTTTCAATTTTACCCTTTTTTGATCTGAAAACATTATTCAATGAAATTTTCAAAAAGTTCTACAAACGCGTTTTTGTGGTACTTCCGTCAAGAAAATCATTTCCATTGTTGCAAGAACAGAACAGCATTTATAGAGTTTTTTTTAATGTTCATCACCTGCTGTCTTTAGGTAAAAAAAGAAAACAAATATTTTGAAGGCCTTTTTGTATATAAAAAATTACCTTGACCTTGAAAACGGAAATCAAAAGTCAAATTATTGATTTTTTTCTTTTTTGGCCAGAAAACAGTATGTAATGGTAAAAATATATGTCAAAAACTTTTTAAAAATTTCCTACTGTTTCAGGTCAAAATGGAAAATATTTAAAAACCTGTTTTTGAAAGTCCCTTTAAAGGTCAAGGTATTCAGCGTATTTGGATAAAATCATATTTGTTGTGCTTTTCATTTTGTGTGAATATTTGTTTTGTTGGTAGGCCCATTAGATTTTGTCAACAAAAAAGTAAATTTTCCACACTGTGGGACGTAGGACCTTTATCTGGCGGCATATCCTCCTATTAGCTATACCTACGTCGTATTGCATAATGTAAATGAGAAGCACTCACCTCTATCAATTAATTCCTTGTTGGCCTATTTGAGATGATGTGAATTCGCGTCTGCACCTATTACCATTTCCAGGCCTCTACTTTGGACCTCTTCCGTAAATGCCACTGCTTGGCTGGATGGGCCATATAACAGGAATCACAATTTCGAGGCTACGACCACAGTTTGCATTAATACTCTACCCGACTGGGAAAAAAGTTTTATATGTAAATCTGAAAAGAAAAAAAAACTGTTTAGTTAAGAAAGAATTTAATTACATATTTCAACCGAAATCTTACCTTGCTTTTGGTAATTCCGATGAATTTGTCTGGTTTCTAAAGTGTTATACGCATCCAGCATCAAGTTTTCCTCCCACCGGAAAATAGGGGCATTAGTCGGGTAAAAACGGAGGGAGTTGAGCTTTTTTCGCCACCCAATTTAGGGTCATTTAATTTTTTTTTTTTTTATAAAATGTACATTTTTTACTTTTACCTTAGTTAACAACAAAATTATGACACTTATGATTTTTTTTTCAATATTTAAAATATTTACCATTTTATTTTACTTGAATATTGTAGAAATTTGTGGAATTCAAAATCATTTTGAGTCCAGTTCTGTTCAGTTGCTTGAGCATAATACATACATATATTATTTAAAAAAAAAAAAGTAAATATGGTTGTTATTAAACTAACGGGTAAAATTTCGGAAATAACAATTCATGAAAGATGCCAAAAATTACATACAAAATCTAAAAAGAAGACAAAAAATAGTTGATACTAAGTGCTAAAAAGTAGACGGCATATTCACACGTTTGAGCCTGTAATTGTCTACACAAATGTATTTAGATGAAGTAATTGCTTAGGCGGTTACAGCGCCTAATAAGAAAAAATTAAGAGAAAGAACTAATTTTTTAATAGTTAACTCAAAACATATCTCATTACGGTTTCATATTTTCATACGATTATTTTATGTAATTTTATTTGTGTAGCAACTATTCCATTTTACAAGTTCAACTTCATTGCTGGGATATTGTTTTCCTTTTTGTTTTTTTTTTTTAACTAATTCGATACATCTGTATTTATAACTACAAGCTAATCACGGTAATTCGTAATATTATTTGTGAATATTTAAGTTCTAGTACTTATGTAGATACACTTACGACTAGTCGTAATTATAGCAAATTGTATTTAATGCAAGAAATACAGCTACCAGAAGAATATGAAAAGTTTTAGGGATAAAGAACGCATGCAATACTTGTATGCGTGTATGCATGTTCCTATTTATGCGGTCAATTACAAATGTGTATGTATGATCGATCTTACATTTATATTTATTTTCGTGTTGTTTTGCTAGGCTTCTAAGATTTCATGAGTAACTTAAATAGAGTAGACTTATTAAAATACATCGATATATTTCATGTTTGAATAAATATATAATTTCCATTACGTTTTAAGGTAGCAGAATACTTTTAAAATACTTAAAACTAAGTTTTATTATTATTTTTTTTTTTTTTTTATACATTTCATTATGTAAATTTTGTAGTTATGTATGTACAAATATATGTAAATGTGCATGTTTTGCACATGCGCTTACGCAGTACTTCGAGAAGAGTAGATTGGTTTACTTACATATGTATACATATGTATGGACATATCAATTTATGTGTAATACGCGATTGCTATTAAATTACTTTAGTTACTCAATTCTAAGCGTTTCTATTTACAAATCCTTAAATTAGTAAATAAAAAAGCTAAAGCTAAAATGTCAACTTTAACAAATAAAATATCTCTATTCGTGTGCACAGCACTTCGTTGTTGCTGCTTTTATTTCATTTATTTACAAGTAAGTTTGCAGTCTCGACCTTTCACTTCCTCACCAGCGAGATCGAAAGCGGGCAACCATCGCCCAACGCTGTTGGCGCACGCTTTGTTGTAGCTACTGCTTCCGCTGCAGCTGCTGGCATTGGCATCATTGTCTGCGCTACTGTTGCCACTGTTGCTTTTGTTGTGATTGAGATTCCTTCTCTTCCACCTCCTCCGCCTCTTCTATTGCCGCTCGCATGCGTCACATTTTGTGTGCACCCTAACGCTTGTTCATTGCTGCTCCCCACAGCTGTGCAAGCAATCGCTGCTGCGCATCATCACATCTGCGTCGGTCGTAGCACGCCACAAGACAACGATGATGCTGCTCCACTTCCTCCTCCACCACTTGACGCATTATGCATTGTTGCCATTGTTTGTTGCATAGCTTGTGCTGCCGCAGCTGCACGACTTCGAGAATTGCCTCTGGACATTGTCATGGTGGATGATACACCACCACTACTGGCAACACTGCTCATCATACGCTGTTGTTGTTGTTGTTGCTGTTGCTGTTGTTGGGGTGTTAACTGTGTCATCGTTGCAGGCGTTACATTCGATGGCGGTGCAGTTATGGTGGCCATATTGGTTGCGCCAGCGTTGTTGGTGGGCGCAGCACTGGTCAGTTCCCAGCTATTGCCACGTTGCACCAGTGCGGTAATGGGCAACTGTATGGTAGGAAAGCGGAAAAATAAACGAGGGTAATTATGTAGGAAAAATAAAATATTTTCTAAACAGAAAATTTTGCCTCATTTATGTATCTTATGAATATATTTGTCTATTTACTTTATCTATATGTATGTACATACATATATGGGACAAAGCACCTCATGTGTACCCGGCCTAAAAACTTCATCGTTTCGATTTTGATAAAATTTGATGAAGATGCTCTACTAAGTATGTATGTACATACGTTTGTAGTAGCATAATTTGTGCAAGAGGGTGGGAAATTTTGAATGATTGCCGAGATACAGAACACTAGGTTGTGGTTC